AGACGAGTTGGGCTCGTAATGGCTGTTCGCAGCTTTGAGACAATGCCATCGGTGGCAGATGCCGATTGTCTGAGGCCTTGGGTACTTGGGCGAGTTTCTAAGATCCACGTGTCGTTATACGAGTGGAGGGTCAGATACGGTACAAACACACATATATGTATATATATACATATGTATTATAATATATAATATATAATATATATTACATATATACACGTATACTATTATTATAATATTAATATGTATATGTGTATATGGGTATATTATAATAATAATATACATGTATATATGTATATGTATATTATATATATATTATATATGTATATATGTGTATGTATATATATATACATATATACATATATGATATATTTATGTGTATATACATGTATATATGTATATTATAGTATATGTGTAAGTAAGTTTAATAATAATAATATATGTTATTAATTTTACAATATAATATATGCATTTTATACATTGGTGAGCATTAGGACTAGCTAATCCTCCCTTTTCACATGGGATTAGTAGTCACCTCCTAAGGAGGTGTTTTTGGTGGGCCCGGTATTAGCAATCCCATCTAAGACTAGGATTAGATAAAACAAACATGGTACTAAATTTAGTCCAAGCCAGTCCAAGTCAATCCTGTGTACCAAACGAGCCCTTATGGTTAGAGATGTGGCTACGTTTTTTAGATGAGGACGTAATAGATGGGTTAGGGCTCGTCAATGGGCTGGGCTTTCTAAGGCGCACCAGGCCGGGCTGGGCTGAAATGGGCTTCTTGTTATATCCAAGGAGATTTTTTTTTCTCTCTTATTTCTCTGTTTTTCTATGTTTTTGTCTCTGTTTTCTACGTAATCCCTCATCTTGACTACTACTATTCTTTAGGTCAGTTCTGATACATGTTTTTCGTTTCAACTCGGGAGGAAATTGAGGAGCTGGAGTAAGAACCGGCTGCTTAGCCAACAGGTATCAAGAAGCCTGGATTTTTGCATATTTTAGCCAACAATTGGTTGTTCCAGCTTGGTTGATTTCAGTTGTTTGGAAATTCCTTTTGAAAGTTGTAGAATGTGTATGAATTGAGCATATCCGAAATTGAAATTGCTGATGAACTGGCAAAGGTGACTGATATTTGAAGTAGAGCCTCAGCAGGCAGCTGGTTGTGTCTTTGACTCTATTACTCTTGCTTGGGTGACCATGATGGTCCTTTTTTTCAATAAATAGAGTCACCGTACTTTGGGCATTATAAATATTCAGAAATTACATTAGGAATATTAGATATCATACTTAAACTCATACACTGGAAATCCTCCCCGAAAAAAGTTCATCCCAATAGCCAATGAATAGTCAAGGAGCTTATTTCTCTCTCTCTCTCTCTCTAGCAGATGGGAGGTGGCTGTACCGCAAACAGGCTACAAATTGACCAGCATGAAATTGATATTAAAAGGGTTGATTGTGTTGGGTATGGTATTGGATCTAATAAGATATTAAGATTAGAGATAATTATTTAATTCATTGACAACTATGATAAAGTTTCCTGGCTGCAACAATTTATTGGGCTAAATCTGTCCACAAAGTCCTACGAATTATCTTCGTCCCACAGGCACAGTACCGACTCGTCCCACTTGAGGTCACTGAAATCTCTGACGTTGAAATCTCGAACATTGCAAACCTAGGGTTGGGTTGGTTCTAATTTGGGGGTTTTGGTGGAGCTTGTAACATAAATGGGAGGGAATGCATTCCTACGAATGCTTCGTCGTTAGGCAGAGGGTTCTCACCTAAAAATATGGTTTTGTCCCTCGATTTCACGGAATAATAAATAGACTTTGACGAATGGACCATTTAGATACATTTTAAAAAGTTTAAGGACGTTTAAATTGAAAATTTTAGTTGGTGGACCAAAATGATAATCTGGCAATAGTTAGGGACCATTTAGGTCATTAACCCTCTTAGGAAAGTGGAGGGTAGGCTAACATGAAGTAAACTGTGACCTACAAAGAGAAGTCATACCTTTGCGGAGGTTTTTTTCAAGAAAGTCTAACAGTGATGTAGTAAAAAAATTGATGGTATGAAGGTTGAGCCAGAGTCAGTCCGGCGCTCTAAATAGAGCAGAATTCTTGGCAGTAGTATAACACTTCTCCAAGTCTGTTAAAATTACAAGTCCTTCAGAATCTCTATTTCCGAAGTCCTAGTTCAATTGATTGGTCTTTTTGATAAACCAGATGAGCCTTGTGCGGGTGACCAATAACGGACCAACAAATAAAAAATATGTTAAAGGGCCCATAGTCAGATTATTGGGTTATATACCCGTTAATTCTTAAAAGCCCAATATATTTAATGGGTGGCCAAATAATTGCCCATTAAATTTACAGAGACCCAAATATCCTATTATATGGTTAATGGATTAATTTAAAAATCCTCATAGCCATTTTTGGGTCCAAGTGCAAGTGTCAATTTTAGAAAATTAGTGGGTTAATCAAAATTGCTCATTATTTTTCTTGGACATTGACAAAAAGAAAAATGGTACAAAACCATCCAATTTTTCTCATGGGTCATATATCCATGAAAATTCCAATGAGATTAAATTCAAATCTCTCAAACACAAATTTTCAATTATTGGGCCACACTTACCCATTAATTTCTAATTTTTCCCATGGGTCATCTACTCATGAAAATTCTAATGAGATTAAATTTAAATTTCAAAACACAAATTCTCAATTAGTGGCCCACACTTACCCATTAATTTCTAATTTTTCTCATGGGTCATCTACCCATGAAAATTCCAAAGAGATTAAATTTAAATCTCAAAACATAAACTCTCAATTAGTGGGCTACACTCACCCATTAATTTCCAATTTTTCTCATGGTTCATCTACCCATGAAAATTTCAATGAGATTAAAATCAAATCTCTCAAACACAAATTCTAAATCATTGAGCCACACTTACCCGTTAATTTCCAAATTTTTGGAACTACGTCAGTTTGATCCTATCAAGGGTACGTAGGCAGTCTAGCATCCCAATAGACGCAACCGCAACCAAATTCCCACCAATCAAATCTCCACACAAATCAATTCTGAACTACGTTGGTTTGATTCCTTTGAAAGGGCACGTAGGCAATCTAGAGATTCAATCTAGATGCAATCGTCCAAAACACAATTCCATATCGAATCCCTAGTTTATTCAACTAAATTCACTCAAACACTTCTCAATACAATTCAAATCAAATTTCCCTTGCAATGAGTCATTTATTCATTGTGATTCTTTAAACTACGAGTGGCTTGATTCCCGCAAGGGATACGTAGGCACCCTAAGGTTCGACTTAGGGGCAGCCGCAAAACCAAACACACATTCTATTTCTTTATAATGGAATCAAAGGGTGTTCCCTTGAAGTAAGGAATTGTAATTAAGAGACACTGCGTCTCGAATGGGTCGAGCCTAAAATAATAAAACCCCATTATTTAATTAGTGGTGGTGAAATTTTGTTGGGAGGATCACAATTTCCTTGAACACTGAACAGTATCAATACATCAATAAGTGCACTGCACAGTTGGGGATACACAATGATCAAAAAGAGACAAAACATAACAGTGGTTTGTACCTCTCAACCAGAATCTCCTCTTTCAACTTCAACCCCAAAGATTTCTGTCTTTGTACCTCTCAACCTTGAAAGCCCTTGGTATCCATAAGTAAGGTGGTTCTATCTACCAGACAAAAGAAACCCATTATCAAATTTAAACAGAAACTCACATTACCAACAAACAAAACCCAGCTGATAGGCTTTTTTGTACCTGCGCAAACAAGGTTAAAACTCCTATAAAACTTGCAAGAATGACAAGGTTATTGTAGTATAAATGATTCTCGCAAGGTTGTTCTCCGCAGGGATTATTAAATAACTCGTCGCAAACCAAATCCTAATTAATTATTGTAAAAGAGAAAATTGAGATGTTTGATTTGAAGACCTTAAATTAAAACGAATTTAACTAATAAAAATAAGGCAATATGCAAAAATAAAGCTAAGAGCAAGGGAAACAATTGTATTTTTAGAAATCAAATTAAGAAAGCACTAGGGATCCGCCGTCACCTTAACAATTCTATATAGTTCTCCCAATTACTTATGACCTATACATGCATATTTCGAAGGTTAGGTATTCCTAATATATGCCTACTTGGACCCCCAACATAGAGCGTATATCACACATGCAATCCGTCTGTGGTATTCAGATCAAATCTAAACATACATGACTCATTAAGTTCTGTGAAACCTTTTGAAAAACCATGCAACCCTTAAGACGTGGTATTCATCCTAAGTGAACTTGCACATATTAATCACAAGAAGCCTTCGTCAATTTCAGGGACCGACCTCCGACCAAAACTGCATCAAATTACTTTTCTAAACATCCTAATGGTGATCAAGCATCAAGACACTTAGATAGTTTAACCCAGTGATGAATAATTCGAAAACCTGCATGCATATAATCATAAGCAAATTGACAGAAACTACATATTCTTGCTAAGGCTCATGGCCTCACCCTAGCAAAAGAAAGTTAGTTACGCATGTTCATAATTAAAACCAAATAAAATATCATTCGAATGAATAAGAATAAAAACACCGTGAAGAAGAAGTTCTTCAAAAGTCCTAGCAAAGTTGCGTTCAAAAGCCAAAAGAGAAGCTCTAAATTTTGTTGTGAAAAAGAACTTAAATACTTCCTAAAACCTAGCTGCCCACAACCTGCTTTTCTATCCCCACAAGGAAACTAAATAAAATAAAATAATGACATGACATAAAATCCAAATTGGACTAGGAGAATCTGCCCCCAATCTGCCCAGCCACGTTTTGGCCTCAAATCTGCTCCAAATCCGGCCCAATACAGCTCGTTTTAAAGATAAAAACGTTCTGAACACTTCTCCAGAAGGCCACGAATCCATCAGAGGTCATCTCGGGCTCCAAAAACGCCATAAAAGCCCAAAATGTCACTTTCCAGCACTGTAGACTGCTCCTTTATTTTATCGCCAGAAAATAACTGCTTGGTAGAAAAGTCTGAAATTCTGATACGATCAAGCCAAGTGACTCACGAACGTCCTCCAACTGGAATTACTCCAAAATTCGTCCATTTGATTATGTTTTGCTCCAGAGAAAGTCGAAAGTCCTATATTGAGAATACAATTCAAAGTATCAAAATTCTTCCAAAATATGAACCAAAATGTACCAAGAATGGGGTTAAATATATAATATAAAATATACCCATCACCAGCCATCCAAAAAAATTCGAGAAACCAAAAGACAAAAGAAATAGAAAAAGCAAACTGACCTTTGATATGGAAATCCCCAATTTCTAGGGTTTGAACTGATGAGAGAGAGGAGAGAGGTAGAGAGGTAGAGAGACAGAGGGACGAAGAGAGAGATGGAGAGAGAGGGAGCAAGTGAGCTTCAATCTTCTCCCATGGAAGCTTGAAGCTTGAGCGAGAACCAATAGCGCAGAGCCAACCAACAGAGCGAGAAAAAAATTCAAGAAAAATGCATTTATTTTGTTTTTAATAATAAGGGTCTTTTTAAGTTTGTTTTGAGATTGGATTTTTAAAAATGGATCTACCAAATGAGTTTTTGAGCCTTTAAATTTAAAATCTGTTTTCGAGTTTATAAAATTGGACTCAAATCAAATACCAAACAGACCCTTAATATTCCTTCCTTATTGATTATGTTACAGCCACCACGATTTGCCAATCAAAGTTTGGATGTTTATGTTGAAGTTATGAAAAGAAAGATCGACACAATAATAAATTTGACATTCTTTGCCCAATCAGAGTGCTAACCCTTTTTGGTTCAAATATAGATGACCTATATTGCATCATTGTTGATATCTAGTTACAAACTAGCTCTTGGTTTAATGGTAGATAATGTCTTCTTAATGTTGGAAGATATTTCAAGTCCGAATTTCTCCTCCACGACTAATTTTTTTATAATAAAAAATTTCATATGAAAACATATTTGTTTCGAGGAGCACTGCGATCAATTCACTAAACAAGGAAATTAATAACTTTAAACAGCTAATAATACAACATGAGCGTATGCCTGAGAGTTTCGATTCCCAGAAGAATAATTTTGATCACAAAATTTCCTAAACTGAGATGGCCGGCACTGCGCCATCTCTAAGTTTAGGGTAGGCAGGAAATTAACAGCTTGACATCCATATTACCTAAATCAGTGATCATCATTTTTGTCGAGGTTTTGAAGCAGCCCATTTGAAATAATTACAATTTGCTTCAGGGTTAGATGCAGGCCCCTGTATGGAGAACAAAAAATGCCACTAATTAGTCATATATCATACGAAACACAGATACATAATCTGGAGACCATCTCTCTTTTTCAATCAATCGTCAAACGCCCAAAGGTTTAAAGGGAGAATGGGGGTAGAACAACAGATCGCACAGCTTGTGGCTTTTTCTGTCCTGAGTTCTAACTACCAAAGGGAAAATAGTTGCATGGTTGATGGAACTTTATCAGATGTTTTCTACTATTACAGCATCAACTGAACCTGAATATGTTTGGGTTGAATTTTATTTTTCATTTTTGGTGAGCCACCAATAGGTCGAATTGAACACATACAAAATAGTGGAAAACTAAAACATGGTAGGAAAGGAGCAATGTGTATGCTGATAGCAGTATTTGAGGTTTTAAATAAAAAAGTACCTCAGCACGAGCACAGACATAAAACCTGCGTCCAAAATTAGCACCTCGCTTCCTCACAACCCGAGCAACACAGGGTTCCCTATGGCCCTTGCAAAGTGGTATGCTATTCTGCATGACTTGCTGCAACCTTTGCCACTCCATTAGAGCAAAATTATTCTTCTCTTTCTCCAAAGAACAGACATCTACTTCATCCTGATCCTCAATTGATGCACTTGAGTTCAATTCACACTGCTTGGGACTGCCACTTTGATTCTCTGGTATTGGAGTTTCATTTGACAGACGATTAGAATCTGGAACATCTATCTGATTAGTTGAAGTATCAGTACCATTGCCGACACCATTGCTAGGGATTGAACTTTTCTGGAAAAATGACCTCAATGAGAGTTGAGAGCTCCTTTTTGCCTTTTTCTTTGGTTCACTGCTGCACATTGTTTTGGTACGTTGACCACCTAAAGTCACCAAGGTGTTACAAGTATCCTCCATAGAAAAACCGTTGGAATGCTCATTTGTTTTTGAACTGAGAACTTCAAAGTTTTGGCTCGAAGAAGAACATGAGTTTCCACTGGGTACACCGGGTGTGCTACAGTGGTCAGACGAGCTTCTTTCTCTCTCACTGCAACTCTCTTTAATGATATCTCCATCTGAATTAACTTGTTCAGCAGTTTGTCTTTTCATTAACACTGATACTGCACAGGACTAAGGGTTCAGTCAAGTTTGAGTAGGCATAAAGAACAAGCGCTTCAGGGGAAAAGAACAGATTGAAACTGACAGATGATCAAGTAAAAGAGTAAGAGAGCATATAGCATTCACATGCTTTAATATAAATAAATTCAACAGATCACTAAATAGAAGCTAAACCAAGAAAGCAGTCGCTTCCTTGAATTTTCAAGTGTGCATCATAAAGGGCTTATCACTTGATGTAATTTGCAAGACAGCATACATAGAAATATCTATATTAAAAAGAGACCATCAGCAAAAGGGGAAAAATAATTTCATACCCAGGGTTTGCTGGAGCCCATGAACCATTGGAATGTATCTAGCAGATAAAGATGGGGTGCTATGCTGGAAGACACTAGGAATTTCCAGCAAACTTGTGTAAACAGGAGCATGATCAGAGCCTTCAAGTTTAATACTCTGCCCTCCCTTCCACCTGTGGGTAGGGAAAGAGGTCAAAGTAACATCCTAACCCTCACACATGCTTACATATATATGTACCACATGCATGCGTTGCACATTACCCACTGTTGCATAACCAGGAAAGCAAAACTACAAGGGAATGAGACACACCAATGGGGTGCACACACACACAAAACAAGCATCCATGTATCCTATACCTCAGTGAATTTCCTGGTTTCCACCGTTTATACTGTGTCAATATGTCACACTCCTTGACATGGCAAGTTACAAAATTATGGCTTTGCAGGTCCTGCTCTTGGTGTAAGCATGATCCTGCAAAAAGAATGTGGTCGATTCTAGAGCCATAATTAAATTCTTCAGCACCTGTATTTTGTGGCCAGCATGTGTACGCTTCTCTTCTGCAGAAAAAAAAACGAAAACAAAAAGACAAAATGGACAAACAAGGTAAGACCAAAAAAATGGACAGACGCCTTCAGGTAACAATGAATGTCAGAGTTTGACATAAAATATTAAAATGATGGTAAAAAGGAATACATAGAGGAGAACATGGAGGATTGACAAATGGTAAGAATTTATTATGGCCTTTTCAATAAACTGACCGAAGAAGACTTGATGGTAAAAAATCCAAACTCGAAATCATGCACCGTCGCACTTAATGATCATATAATGATAATGTGATTAAACCATAAAAGTAAAACATGAAGTTGAATGGGGCACTCAAGATATGTTGAAGGAAAGATATCATACAATAATAACTTCAAATGACTAAACATGTTCCCACGACTACTGAGCAAATATAACGCATTACTCAAATCCAAACTCAAGTATGCATAAGAACAAAACAAATGACTGCTAGAAGTCCTTTTGAGAATTAGTTTTACCTATTAGGATGCTTTGCTCTGAAAACATCAAAGAATGAGCCTTTATTTTCCACCAACATAGATCTAAACCATCTTCTAAATCTACAAGGCATTTCCTCAAAATATTAGGTATTGAGCTTTACTTATAAAACTGTTCAAAACATTGCATGCACATGTAACTATTACATAGAGATCAGAAAAAAAATCATACTGGTTGTTCTCAAATTCTGGTTCTGCATCACAACGATCTAAAGAGGTGGGTGCAATGTTAAGATCACCAACAACAAATATCCTCCTCCCCTGAAGCAGGAGAGACTCCCACCTTTTCTACAACAAAAATTACCTATATTAATAAATAAATAAAACACAACAGAAAAACAATTATAACTTTTGCATGCTAATTAAACACTTCTTGTAATAAACCAAAGGCATAAATGCACAAAAGAAAGGAACTACATAAAATAGTAACTCAAAAGAGCAAAAGGTCACTTTGGTTACCTGTAAAATCATGAAAAACTTGAGCTTAAACTCAATCCTTTCTGTGTCATCACATACAGCTCGAGGCCCATACAAATTGAAGAGAACTAGACAAGCATTGTCAATAAAGCTTTTAACTTTTCTCCAACAAGTGAAAGCACAAAGACTCAAGCTTGAAAAAACATACCAAAATGACCATGATCTGTGATAATACACCGTCCCTCGCCATCAACCTTAAGAAGCTCATCCTTCGAAAATTCCTCAAGCCCTTCTGCAGCCGCAGCCATTTCTCCTTTTCCAATCTCAAGGAGCCCAGTGAAGCCTTCCTCTGCCGCCACCGGCAACGCCACTTCGTCACTCGAGAATGCCGATTTTACGCGGCAAAACGTAGCCACACCTTCATATGTGACGTGAAATCAATCCAAATTCGAGACTGAAGTTGCAAAATTTGAAGAGAGTCTGCTGTGGTTTGGTTGAGTCAATTGTACAAATACTTACCGGAGTATCCAGTTCGGCCTCTCTCGGAGGTACGAGTGCAGGAGAAGAAGGACTCGTAGCCCTCCGCCATGACCAAGTCGGCGGTCAATTCTTGTCTTCTCAGTTTGGTTTCCTGAACACAAATGATATCTGCGTCCAGCGAATTTAGCAATTTGGGAAGAGAGCCAAATTGCGCAATGCGTGGCCTCAGCCCATTCACGTTGTACGTCACTATCTTCATCTTCTTCCTTTCTTCCAATTTACAGAGACAGAAGAAACCCTCGAGCCATTTTCATTTTCAGAATTTGGAGGTAAACGAAAGCCCTCCTCGCTTAAACGACGTCGGTTTGTTCTAACGTGTCGGTCGACTATTGAGTGGAAACAGAGTTTTAACATTACTATCGTGGTCAGGAACGTAGCCAGTCCTGGTCTCTACCTCTAAAGCTTTAATAAAATATTAAATTTAATTAAAAATGAAAAAAATGAAAAATGCAATATCCAAATCGCATTGGCATCCATTCTCGCAGTGGTGGGTTTTGTTGTGGAAAGCTGAGATAGGTGTTCAATTTTGTATCTTTCGATTGCCTCTTTCCCTGAAATTCTTCAATTTGCAGTGAAGAGCAAAACCCTAGACTGAAAATTTGAAGCCAAAGGCCAGGGTTTGATTGATGTGCCTGAGCTCGCGAGCATGGATCAATGGAACGGTGACGATTTCTCAGCAGCTTCAGCTCCTTCTTCTGCTCAGCCTCTTCTTTTGCCCTCCTCCAATCGCTCCCATAACTCCAACTCTGAGTCCAGGTTTTTATATTTCCCATTTTTTTCCTACACATTTTCTGTTTTCTTTTATTGGGTTAGCTTGAATTCAGCAATTAAATGTCTCTGTTATTAAATAATTTCGAGAAAAAAAATTATTGATTGTTTTGAAGCAGATGGGTTGAGAAAGTTTGGATTTTTATAGTTTGATTTTGTGGCAGACAAAGGCCTGATGTGGAGACGAAGGACCCAATTGTTGCAAGAAAAGTTCAGAAAGCAGACCGTGAAAAGTTGAGGAGGGATCGACTCAATGAGCACTTTCTTGAGTTGGGCAACACATTAGGTAAAGCTTAGTCAATATTCTACTACTCTTTTTGGCACAACATGTTTCACCATCACAACAATAGCTTGACATGAATGAAGGCTAAATATTTTGATTAACAGTATCAGCAATATAGCATGTGAATGGCAGATTGTGTGCCTCACAAGTGAACATTAGTTTACCAAACGCATGCCTTAGTTCTCAAGAAACATGCATGCCTTATTGTTATGTTGGAATTGTAGATCCAGATAGGCCCAAGAACGATAAGGCAACCATCCTTACAGACACAATTCAAATGTTGAAGGATTTAACTGCTGATGTCAGCAAACTAAAGGCCGAGTGTGCCACGCTTACTGATGAATCCCGTGAGGTGAGGTGATGTTCCTTTTAATATGTAATGTGTATTATCCTTGTGGTTGTAACTTGTAAGGCCGATCATATGCTAATGTCATCGGAATTCTTGTTTATTGCAAGCAGCTAACACAGGAGAAGAATGAGCTAAGAGAAGAGAAGGCATCTTTGAAATCCGATATTGAGAATCTAAATGTTCAGTATCAGCAAAGACTGAGAGTTATGTTTCCATGGGCTGCCATGGATCCTTCTGTTGTTATGGCTCCACAATACTCATATCCAATGCCTGTAGCTGTTCCTCCCGGCTCAATTCCCATGCACCCATCACTTCAACCATTTCCTTACTTTCAAACTCAAACTCCTGCTGCTATTCCCAATCCCTGTTCAACTTTTGTCCCATATCAAGCTCCTGCCAATCCTCCTGTAGAACAGCCGGCACCCCAGTATGCATCTGTTTCCCACCTTTCAAGCAAACAAGATTCCAGAAGCAAGTCATCAGATATGCAAAGGGGGAGCAATGCTGAAAGATGTGACGACTCCAATGATGTGGCAACCGACCTTGAACTTAAGATGCCAGGATCTTCGACACAACAGGTTTGTTTTAGCATTTAAACTTATAGAAGCTACACTTTTCAGAAATACGTTTATATATGTACGGTACCTATATGTTACACATGAATCTACTTTGTACATTAGAAATGGAAAATTGAATGAATGGGGTTTTACAGGATTCATCTTCTGGAGGTAGGAAGGCCAAGCAATCACAGAGGAAGGATAGGGTTGTTACAGATGGAAGCTCATCTAGTAGGTATTCTTCATCTCAAGGTCTTCAGGATAACTCCTCCAACAGCGTAGGTGACGTCCCCAAGTCTAACAAATGAAACATAGGTTGCCTGTACTTCTGACTTCATCAAACTGCTAACATCACAAGACCTTGTGTTTTCTATGACACCCTGATCATAAGCCGTGGGTCTGAACACCTTCCGGTTTATTTTGAACACAAGTTTCTAATCGAATTCAAAGTTGCGGACTCCAGTATCCAAGGAAGAAAGCAAAGGTTTTCTGTTTTCTAGTAACATATTTCCTCAGCAACAGGAAGGCAATAGAGAGGTTTATATGTTTGTAAATTGTCTTTAAGATCTGCCTAACCCCTTAGATTAGATATGTTAAACTGGTGTAATTGTAATTGCACATTCAGTCTAGCAATTATTGTTATTTATTTTGATATTTTAATGTGTTTTCTTATTTTGCGTCTCACCATGCAACCATTTGGCTAAGAGCTTATTTCAATCATTTGAGCACGCGTTTTTTTGACTGTTTGGTCAATCCAAATCCAATTGAGCAAAATTAAAGTCAATAAGTTCATATTCGCCAATTTCGGTTGTTTTCTACTTGTGGTTTTTAGTTAGGGTAATGATTTCCCCACTACAATTTTATTCACTTACACTCCTTTTTTAGTTATAAAATAGAGTGTAAGTGAATAAAATTGGAGTGGGGAAATCACCACTCTTTAGTTATTGGTATATGATAACCCAAGATACCGCATCAAATAAATAAATAAAAAGCACAAGATGGTCCTAATCTGCCACATTTTCATTAAAATTTATTTATGTCACACATAATAATTGTGTACGGCACAACCAAGAAATCCCCAACACCTGCAAAAGGATGTACACTTTGAACAACCACAGTAACCGGAGCCACCTTCTTTTCAGATTCACACCAACTCTAACATCACATGTCTCAAGTGAAATGTTTTATCCAATCCTATGCAGAATACAATTGCTGAATACTTGAGTTCAAAAGTGGTCCGGGATGGTTATAAGTTATAACTAGAAAACCGGAACATCTGTCTTACTCTCTTTTACTTCCAATCTTCAAAACATTAATTCCAATCTACACCTTCCTAGCATTCCGTTGACCAGGCGGGCTAGTCACGGTTTTCGAACTAATGCTCGCAGTTCTTAGAAGTCTACGGAATTCTGATAGGCTGATCTTCCCATCTTTGTCAATATCGGCCTCTTCGAGAAGTGGATCAATAGAACCTCTTAATCCCGTGTGCTACAAAAGAGAGGAAACAACATAGTGTATCAGGAAAATTAACAAGAACACTGGTAAATCCAAGTTTGTGTTCCATGTTATTGTGTCTTCTGGGAGAGGAAAGGCATAGCCAACAAAACAAATTAACACTAACCATTTTAAGTTCCTCTGGAGTTATAAACCCATCTTTATCTATGTCGAATTTCTCAAAGGCTGCCCGTGAGCGCTGCTGCCACTTCTCAGAGTCATGTTCCTCCAATTGATGCACATGCAGAGTGGCTGCCACAAACTCGTTGAAATCCACAAGCCCATCTGTGTTGCTGTCAATCTGCATCAAGCAAATCAACAACCACATTCCAAACCGTACATCCAAAACACGAATATAAGATTGATGTGAGATTCACATCGCCTTGGGAGGAGTAAGGGTAAGAGGGCTCGCAAGGAAAAAGAATGATCAGGGAAAGAACCTGAACACCCTACGAGACTGGCATAAAGAAAACAAAAAATAGGTGGTTTTTTCCCTTCATTAAGAGGAGGGAAAAAGAAAAAGGAAAAGGGTGGTGGGGGTGGCGTACCGCTTCCAGTATCTCAAGGACCCGTGAATCTTTCAATTTCCAAGGGACATCTTTAGCAAGTGCCTGCAAGAAAGACATCAATCTTAGAAGTTTAGAACTAAAGAAACCACATATGTTAGAACATACACTCATGAAGAAAGGGGCATATCATATTCTAAAGTTCAAATTTAAATGTGAAAAAGGATTACCTGTCTCATTTCTTCAAGACTAATGGAACCGTTCTTATCCACATCAATTGCATCAAATTGATCCTTGAGATCAGACAGCTCCTCGGCATTAAGTGTGCTAGCTAATGCCTACAATGCCATCAATTTTGAATAACGAATTTAAAATACAAAATACTTTTTCTTTTTTGTACTGGAAACTCCAAGAGAAGGAAATTTTTCTTACCCTTAGAGCAAACTGTTTCAAACGACTGTACCTCACAAACTGGCGCATGTTATTTAGAACAGATATATCGATAGGAATCTCTGATGCATTGCCTCCTTCTCTAACCCACGGGTGTGCTGAAAAGAAGAAATAACAGTTAATCCCTCTGGAAATAAATTTTATATATATTAACACTTCAAAGAATTGTCTCGAGATGAAAAATAATAATAAATGTTCCTTGGGTATGACACCAATAACTCAATAGTAAAAAAGAAAAAGCAAATCATTGGAAAATCATTTTATAAAGCAGCTAATTCAAAATCTTTACAAATATGTTAGCCTTTCCAGTACCATAGTAATCAGCATTATTTCTATCAAGATAAGATCTAGGGGCATACATAGAGCCTGAGCAGCAGTTAGCCTTGCTCGAGGATCCTTTACCAGTATCTTCCTAACAAAATCTTTAGCACTGGTGCTTATGGTTGGCCATGGTTTGCGGCGAAAATCAGGCTTGTTCCTTAAGACCTACAATAATAGAGAGGTGAATAAGTCCACTAAACAGATAATGAGGGGCCAGGGGGGGCATAACAAATAATAAACCGGCATAAAATTATTGCCCCCAAAAAAAAAAAATTCCAACAGAATTCAAAATTAAGAATGTACTACACCTCCTTAAATATACCATCTTCGGTCTTGTCCCAGAATGGGCGCCTCCCACAAAGCAAAATGTAGGTAATCACACCAATACTCCAAACATCTGATTCAGGCCCAGACTTCCGTCTCAATACTTCAGGAGCAACATAATAAGCACTGCCAACAATATCTTGGAACTTCTTGCCTGCATTTTTTAAGCTTAAACAGCTTTATAGGTTTCAAATAAAAATGGCCAGAAACATGGCCACAAGTACTAGATAAGCAAAATTGAACTGGAGGACTTTAATCACAGAAACTTGTACATCTCTTGATAAAATCTTTCCTGGATTGAAAAT